GATTTTTATGTTTATTTAATTACATAGAGGAGTAATTGTGGTGGGGGAAAGGGGTTGGGATGTGATTTGGTAAATAAGATATTCTATTAGGGATAAAAAAGCCTTTTGACGTAATTAATCTAAACTCGAAATATGAAACTCCCCTCCCATGGGTCTGCTCAACCCCATATATGTGAGTTTAATACATTGGACTACTTACGGACCTAGATATGAATTATGAGGGTCTAGGCGTAAAACCCTCAACTATCCAAACCATTTCCTAAAATCAAGCGAGATATTACGAAAGGAAGGCGAAGATCTTGCCACAGACCCCATAAAATTAGGAACTAGGCTATAAATATACTGTACAATATCCCCACTTTGAGACAAGTAACGAACATAGTGTTAAGAAGACTGTGTATTTTCTAGATCATCTTCAATACAATTTTCAGGAGCAAGAGACTCCATTGAAGAGTTAATTAGTCGAACTCCTTAACTAGTGAATCACTATAATTCTTCTATAAAATTTATCCCTTATCCCTGAATTGTCTCATTATTCTCAAAAGCCATATAACTCAGTTCAAACCCAGCATTATACAAAATCTGCTCGATCACCTTTCACACACCCATTAGTACCTATACGTTTTGGGGTTATTGCTGTCCCGCAATCCCCTTGTGTGCAGCAGAATTTTTTGTATTTTAATGTTGCTCAACCCAATGGTCTGCAAATGAATAAACCTGTAAAGCTTTTATGAATTTGAACAAAGTAGTCTTGACATTTAAATAAACTCACTCTACGTCATGCAGTGTGGTAATCTACTTTGTTTGAAACACCGCTATTAGGATATAATTTGATGACTTAAATAGGTATTAAATCTTAGTTCCGGATGAATTTGTCAATTCAATGAAAATAGTATTAATGATACCAAAAAATATATATAGCTTCGATATATCAAGTCAAGTCAACATATGTCTAACAAGTCGAGTAAGTCAGATCAAGTCAAGTCGACCCCAATCAATGATTATTAAAGTTAACAACGGAATTCAAGATTACGACAAATAATATGAAAATTATTAGAATGGCCAGAAAAGAACTTTTGACATCAAACTCTCCCTCGGGCAATAAGTCACCGTTTTTAAAAATCACGTCATACCGAATATTCTTTCACAAATCTATACTACTAATAAAAAAATTTTAAGTGAAAAATTTTTGATTCTCTATTTTATCCTTATAAAAAATTTTAATTACCACATTATCTTTTCCTAGTTAAATATTTAAATTACAATTACGTCCTTATGTATTTAAATCTCTAATTTACCCTCTAACATTTCTTTTACTTTTCTATTATCTTTGTGTAAATATCAATATCTAAAAAAAAAAAATTTAATTGACTATGTTACTCTTAAAAAAATATATGCATCATTATAGTTTTCAATAAAGTGTTCAAAAAACTTAGTCAATAAATCAAATTTTTTCAAATATATAGATAACATTATGACTATATATATGTATTTTTTGTCATCTATACTACTAATAAAGGATGAAACTTTTGTCTTAGCATGAAAATTTTCTGATTCATTAATTTACTTTTATAAAAAAATTTAAATTTTAAATTTTAAATACCACACTATCCTTCAATATTTGAATATTTAAATTGTCATCATATACTTATATGTTTAAATCTCCGAATTACCTCTAACATCTCTTTTAATTCTTTATTTAATATGTATAAATATCAGTATCTATGAAACTTTTTAATTGACTATGTAACCTTCAAAACATATATGCATCACTATAATTTTTAATAAAATGTTCAATTTTTTTAAAAAAAAAATTTATCAATTTAATATTACTCATTTTAAATTTAAAAATAACATTATCCTTACATACGTGTATTTCTTTCATCCAAAATTTCAACCATTTAATTTTTAAGATAAAAAATAATCTTTTATGTAGTTTTTTTTTTAAATAATTTTATTAAATCAACATAATTCTTCAATCACAATAATTTTTTCATATTTTATTAAGACTTTGTATTAAAAAAATTATATTGTATTTTTAAGTAAAACTTAAATTTTAGAATTTTAATATTCTTTTAAAATATATATTATAGAGTAATATATTATATTTTAAGGTGAATAGAACTTTTAATCCCTAAAATATGCATATTTTGTCAATTTAGTGTTAATTGTATCAATTTTATCAATTTAATTCTTAAAATATTTAGTTAATGTTTAAATGATTCCTATACAGATAATCTGTTAAGTTTTTAATAGAAGTGATCACGTGATACTATTTGACGGAATAACATATGGTTATTTTTTGTCAAAAAACTTAATTGATCATCTGGTTAGGGACCATTTAAACAAAAATTAAATATTTTAGGAATCAAGTTGACAAAATTTATATGCTAAGGACTAAACTGACAAAAGGCTCAAACTTTAGAGAACCAAAGTGTTATTAATCATATATTTTATCTCTATTAACATAACTAATTATAGTAAGCATTGATTAGAATATTAAAAATTATTTTTATTTTATTCAATGAATTATAAGTTGAAATATAATCAAATGAATTTCAAAAAAATTATTTTTATTTTTTTTATACTTCAAACAATGAATCGTTGGGAACAAACAATATTTTCAAATTCTATAATATAATATGAGCAATAAAAATATAATCTTGATAAACTTGAAATGATATTTAATGTAAGTACACATATACCTAATATTTTTTATATGAAAAGTGTTGCACGTGGTGCATTACTAATAGATTATAAAAGACTAGGATCACTATGTAAAAAGGGGCCAAGAGGTTGCCTCAAGCAAGGGAAAAACCATAATATGCTATTCTTCTTCCTCAAGTGATACATCACAAAAGAGTAAGAATCTTTACTACTGTGGACTACCTTAGCTATTTAATTAGGTAAATCATTTATTTTCTTGTACATTCTCACTCTTTTTTCCACACGCACTCAACACCCCTCACTTAGAGCTCATCCAACTCATTCACATCATGGTTCTCGATTTTTTACCCCATCAAGTATATTACACTGTCAAATTAAATTACAAGTAACTTGCGGGCTTTGAATTTCATTCTTGCTGAAGTCATTCCGGCCACGTCCGTATTATGGGCCTCAGAACTTTACATATTGGAGCCGTTACGTGCCCATTCCAACTATGAATTCCGACAGATCCGGCCCATGCAGAACCCAGGATAAAGCAGGTCCTATAACCGTTGTCAAACAACCCTTAAAGCCCATACAGAGAGCCCATGATAGCTCATAGTAGCCGTTGGTTTGGCCACTTTTATTAGTCCCTTTTTAGCTTCTGGTGAGGTGGGGGTGGGCTATGGTTTCTTTTTTGTAACGGTAAGGAACATCATACTCCACCAAACAAAACTCCAAACTGATCTGTCTTTCACACTAACAACTGACTACGACCCATAGCCTACAACTCCAACTGCCAGTTACCGGTCTCTCTCTCTCCCTCCTCCTTCCTTCCTTCCTTCCATCACCATTTTCCAAATGCCATAGTCACACCCTTGAGATTTTGATCAATACCTCCATTTTTCGTGTAGATATGATAGATTTAATCGACTACGAGTGAAGATAGAAACCATGTTGTTAAAGGATAAATAATTTTTTAATCATTCGGACGAACATGTTTGTTTTAAGTAGGTAATACATTCTCACCGATTTGTATTTAGGATAGATTTGACACAAAATAAATGGACGACCAAACAAAAATAAGATGGTGAACCACGTTGTAACATTTTTATTTCTTTAAGGGGCCAATGTAGAAAAATTAATAATTCAAGAGGCAAACTAAGAATTTTTGTATATTTCAGGGGATAAAATGGGATTTTCTTTGGTATTTAAGCCAAAAAATTTCATCCCTAATTGCAAATCAAAACGGTAAAAAAGCGAACCGACACGTCACCATTATCACCGGCTGAAACCGGTTACCATATTCCCAACAGTTTCCCGTTTTAAAACCTCCAAAAACCCGTTCGTTTTTTCGTCGTCCCCCCCCCCCCCCCCCCCCCCCCC